AAATGAAACGTAATTTTATTATTTGTTATTCGAATATGATTATGGTGAAATTATAAATAATAATAATGATCATAATAATAATAATAATGGTACAATTTCTTCAATACGCTTGACGTCAGCAATACGCTTGACGTCAGCCATAGAAAGTGAGGGAGGCCTTTCACCCCGACAACATGGCTCCAGGAAGGGACACTCAACTATAGGAGCAATTGGCGAAGTAGTCGAGGCGGTACATAAGGCCGAAGAAAAATTGTTTCCGGAAATTTTCAATTACCAGCTGAAAATTGATAATGCTTAATCTTTTTCTATAAGAAAATTGAACTTTTACGCACCTACTGAATAAATTTATTCTTTTGTTATTCCTGTTAATGTGCATCTTGAGTCGGTGTCAAAGTCAAATTCGTTGTTGAATGGATTTTTACAAATGGAAATGTCTGCTTCTGTGTCTATAAGGAATGTCATAGGCTTATTGAATTATATTCTGTGTATCGTTATATAATTTGTTAAATTCTGTGTAATTACATAAATATTTCTACGATTAGTGTGGTTTATGGGTCCATGTCCCCCGGAAGAGTGCCCCTGTAGTCCTCCGAGTCGCCTACGTTTCCCTGAAGTTGGACAACGTTCATTTGGCGACCATTTCTTTCCTGATTTCTGGGGAAGGCTTTTTGATTGTTCCTGTTATAGTCATTAGTCTGTCTTTCATTTGAATAACTTCTCTGAATATTGCTTTGGTTGTTAGCTCTTGAATTGCTTGAGCTCCTATTCGTATTTTGGTACTTATTAGGGCTGATGATTTCACTCGGGTAATGAGCTACCCGGGTTCCCCGGGCAGCGGGTGAAGCCCTACCCGCGTATTGTACTACCCGAGTGGCCCTGATACCCGGGTATTTTACTACCTGGGTAGACCGGGTACCCGGGCAGTATGGTAATTTCATTTCATTTCATTTATTCAAACAGTCCAGGAATACAATACAATATTCTTACCGACTCTGAAAAAAAAACTAGTATGAATAACTCAGTGAGAGGGGAGACCAGTATGTTTGCATGTATGTATATAAAAAAATATTTATTGGACCAAAAAGTAGTGGGTAGGCACTGTGGCCAATGGTAATCAACTATTACCACCTCCGCATGGTTGAAAGCCATGCGGAGTCCGCAGAAGACTCCGGAAGCAGTGTCCGGAGGATGCATCAGACTAGGCCGAGCATACTTTGAACTGCCATCAAATTATAACTTAAGAAAGTTTTATTACATGGCAGTTGAGAAGTGCATGTACATAAATTTCATTAATTTAATGAAGGAAATTTTTGCACATGGAGCAGTACATAGCATGCATTTAGGCGCCTGGTGTTAGCAGTCGCGTCTAAACAAGTATCTATTAGTTAAAATATATTTTAAGACAACATTTTTTAACATCACTCCTGGTAGTGAGATATCAATGTCTTTAAATTCATTTAACTCTCTCAGAGTACGCGAAATTGGAGCATTAGGAGCATAGGTAGATTTAAATCTATACACATGAAACATGTCAGTATGTCGTAAATTTTTGACGGGAATGTTGAGCGGAATTCTATACAAACTCTCAACACAATCAATCGAACCTGTTGGGACATTTAAAACAAATGAGCAAGCCAAAAATTTTCTTCTCTGCTGTAGCAAGGGCAAAGGTTCATCAAAATTTAGCGAATGCAATGCAAATTTTATAAATACTTTCTGTATACGCTCGATCCTATTTATATGCGTTATTTGGAAAGGCCGCTAGATGAAAGATGAATATTCCAAACGGGACCTAACAAATGCAATATACAGTTTTTGAGGGTGTAAGGGTCTGAAAAATCTGAACTATTACGACGAACAAATGCTAGCATCGCATAACCCTTTGCAACTAAAAAATTTATGACTAGCGAACGTAAGCTTCGAGTTAAAGAAAATTCCTAAGTCTTTGATTTGATCCACAGACTTCAAATTAGAACCTGAAATATGGTAGATCGTTGTTAAGCAATTGAGCTTTTTAGAAAAAGCTACATGAAAGCATTTGTCAATGTTCAAATAGAGACGGTTTTTCATACACCATGAATGAACTCTGTCAAGGTCAGATTGCACCAGAACTTGATCAGCAGCGGACGATATTGCAGAGTAAATCTTTAGGTCGTTAGCATAGAGAAGAAACTTCGAATATAAAAAGCAAGAACTTATATCATTTATAAAAATGGTAAACAAGAGCGGCCCAAGAATGCTACCTTGCGGAACTCTTGACGTTGCAAGATATGGGCAAGAAGTATTGTTGTCAAGTACGACTGAATAACTCCTACCAGATAAGTAGGATTCTATCCATTTTAGAAAAGTAGCGTGAAATCCTAGAAAGTTTAATTTACTAAGCAAAATTTTGTGCGAAACCCTATCAAAAGCCTTGGCAAAGTCGGTGTAAATGCTATCTACTTGGAGGCCTGCTTCAAAACTTGCTAGGCAGTCATAAGAAAAAATGGCCAGATTAGATACTGTATATCTGCCCTTAAAAAACCATGTTGATACGGGATGATTAGATTAGAAACTGAAAAAAAACATTTTTTCTTTAATTATGCACTCAAATACCTTAGCAATTGTTGTCAATTTCGTAATAGGCCTGTAATTTGTAACGTCATTCTTGTTACCACTTTTGAAGATTGGCGTAACATATGATTTTTTCCAGTCCTGTAAGAATAGCCCAGACGTGAGCGATTTATTAAAAATTAAAGCAAATGGCTTACTGAGGGAGTAGCAATTTTTTAACAAAATAGGGGATAAACCATCAGCATCAGTTTGCATTGAGGGCTTAATAGAAATAATCGCTTTTTGAACATCATCCATTGTTATGGACGAAGATCCAAAGAATAAAGGGGAATTTGAAAAATCCGACCTATCCGGCACACTATCAGTGACAGATACAAAATTGGTACTAAAAAATTCGGCAAAAAGGTTAACCGTATCATCCGCAGATTTCGCTTGCTTATCCTTATAAAACACAAAGGACGGTATACCCGAATTCGATTTTTTAGATTCAATATAGGCCCAGAAAGCTTTCGGGTTATTTTTGATGTTACTTTCGAAGTTACGAATATAACGATTGTGCAAAATTTTGTCTAGATTCCTAAAATCAGCTAAACGGCGTTTATAGGTTTTAAAATGTTCAGTATTATTTGAAACTTTATACTTATTGTATGACTTACTACAACGGTTTTTTAAACGTTTAAGCTCCTTAGAGAACCACGGTAGCTTGTAATTCTTAACCGGTAAAATAGGAATATGTTCAAAACAAATATCATTAAGTTTAGATTTAAAAAGTTGAAAACAGCTAAGTGTATCTAAATTAGCAAACAAAGCATCCCAGTCCAACTCGAAAAACAAATTGTTTAGTGAATCAAAATTACACATTTTGAAATTTAACTTAACAGCGGCACTAGCAGGAGTGTTACTTAAAAATTTGTAAAATTCTAGGGTTAAAACTAATGGAACATGATGCATACAAGCGGAAGTAATCGGCGAACAACACTCTAAAAGGTGAAAGTTTAAGTTACCAGATAGGAAAATTAAATCTAATATTCGGTTGCACTTATTCGTATAACTGTTAACTTAATTTAAATCATAACTTAAAAAATTATCAATAAAGTATATTTCAGTAGAACTAAATATATTAGATGGCGTTAGAAAGTATGAGCTATCCAAGTAAGACCACGAAACATTATTTAAATTAAAATCTTCAAGTACACATAAATGTTGACTTCCGACCATAGATTGCAAGGCAATTACATTGTCGACATGCGAGTTATAAAGCTGTTCCGAACTATTAGGAGGGATGTAGGATGCACAATTAAATAATTTATCCGAAGCACCAAGCAGTCGAACACATAATTGATCCAGTGTAGAGTCATTATTATTGAGGCAAACTAAAGCTGCACGAAGTTCACGCTTTGTGGCAATTAGAACACCGCCACCACGGTTAAGCCCAGTTTTAACGGGGTCTCTGTCTTTCCGAAATACGTCAAACAGATTTAAATCAAAAAATTCCGAGTCGTAAAAATTTGAATTGAGCCAAAATTCTGTTAAAACGAAAACGTCAAACATCTCTGAGGAGCTAAACGTACGTACAGCAGTCGCTTTAGTTCTCATACCCGACATATTTTGATAGTATATGCGAATGTGCGTATCAGCTTCAATATTAACGTGGAATTAATATCTATGTTTTCGTGGCAACTTGTTTTTGGACGAGCCGAGAAGGGCGAACGGTCACACTGGCGGGCCAAAGCTCAGGACTGAGTAGTTTATTAAACATAGTTTCAGGAACTCCTAGCTTAAAATTTATTCGCCTTAATTATTCGAGTGGAGTATCTTTTTTTAAAAGACTATAGCAAGAAAGTAGCTCTTTTGCTATTCCCGAATGCTTAGCAACATACCCAGTCACATTATCACTCGTAACAGAAGGCAAAAACGATGCAATATGAAGCCATTTAGTGCGAACAGCAACATCGAGCTCCGAATTAACATTTAAGCCAATGACACGCAATTGTTGTCGACTACCTTTCTTCTTCTTCTTGACAGAAAGCCACTCAGATTTTTGGTGAGCAAGCTGGTCGTTGCTGTCATCTATAATAACAACTTCATCAGAGCGTACATCAGCAGACTCAGCAGGTAGCAAAGACGACTCCGTATTATTGTATTTCGAAAATTTCGTTACACTGTCTAAATTGTATGCTTGAAACATTTGCTTATACATAGCCTCGCATAATATTACACTGGATCTCAAATTTTAATTTGGTTTTTGTTCTCCAGATGCCACTATCCAAGTGCTTTGTAGAATTGCTTGGTGATTCCGAAAATCGGGTTAATTTTTTTCTATGGATACGTTTTCGAGATATTGGCAATTTACCGTTATTCAGCTTCATGTATATATGGTTTATGGAGAATTTCATTAGCTTTTATTCGCCGTATTTTATATTAAGATTTTTAAATTGGTTCGTAAGATATACGTGATTAAAAGGAACCAATCTTTGCTTTAAGCTGAATAACGGTAAATTGAAAATATCTCGAAAACGTGTCCATAGAAATTAGTTCGATTTTCGGGATCACCGAGGAATTCTACATAGGAATTGGATAGTGGCATCCATAGAACATTTTTGCTGTAAACCAGTGTTATTAACATGAATGCAATAAATTATAAGTAATGCCATTCTGGCCGAATGCTTTCTATTTAGTTTTGTTTGATTCTATTTTCGCTTCCTTTCACAGTTTGTTTTGTTTCCCCCTTCTAGCTTTAGTATATTATTATCGTGCATATAATATGTGCATATGCATTTTTTGTGATTGAATTTGTATGTATATATATATATTTGTTTAAACCTAATTTAGAATTGCACCCAATTTGCATGTGAAGTATCCTGGTGCTGTTGTGCCTTCCTTGACCACGTGTGCAGTTTTCCTAACTTTTATATGCCTTTTGCTTCAATTTCCATCCGACGTAGTCGTGCGTTCAATTATTTTTCGAATACCATGAATATGGCCACAAGTACTAGGATTATTAAAAGTGCTGTGAAGCCGACTGCATAGAATTCAGACTCTTTATTGTCATTGATTTCGGGTTTGTGCACCCTTGGTGGTTCGTATCTTATTATCGTTTTGTCTGTTTGCGTATCCTTACCGACTTTGTACTCCGTGATGGCTATTGTGAGGACCAAATGTCCCTGAAGAATTTGGCCCACACAAATACCCGCCACCAAAGCAGCCAGCCATGCAATAAATCACAGCAACACAAACCAAAGCAACCAGCCACGCAACAAGTCATAGCAACACCCGACAGCCTCTTCGTTGCTATGACAACGGAACATCACACAGAAACATGTAGCTACGCGACCACGCAACATCAAGCACATAGCCTATTAAAGATACAACACAGCCGGAAAGCAGTCAATCAGCACGGAGCTGTGGTCGCGACGACAACTTGACCGAGTGGAGATACCTTGTGGGACGATTTATATCTATACAGGATATCCCCTCTTCGAAAGTAGAGGACCGTGACAGCGTACCTTTAGCGAGGGGGAGTAGACGATTTATATTTCCTTCCCCGAACTTAAGGTACAGGCTTCATCACCGCTCGCCACATCCTACCGTGAAGCCGCGTACGGGCGACACCCGCTCGCCCGCCGTCAGCAGAGCGACATCAACAGCGCCAACAAGAAGCGCTCCCCACCGCCGTCAGCAGAGCGACATCATCAGAGAGCCACATACCGACGCGACCCGAGCGCTACTCTCCGGCGTCATCAGAGTGCCACATACAGATGCGACCCGAGCGTAACTCTCCGGCGTCATCAGAGCGTTGCTCATCGGCGCGACCCGAGTGTCACTCAACGACGTTAGCGGAGCACCTCTCATCAGCGCGGCCAGAGCAACACTTGTCAACGACATCAGGGCGCTACTCTCCGATATTTCAAGAGCGCCACATACCGGTGTCACCAGAGCGTTACTCACCGACGTTGTTAGAGCACTACATATCGACGCGGCCAGAGCCCCATTTACCGACGTTAACAGCGTGCCATTCATCGGCGTCAGCAGAGCGCTGCCCACCAGTACTAAAGTCACGCCACTACAGCATAACGGGCCAGTAACGGAACGCGGAGCCGTTACCCAGCTACCGGAAGCGGCATTACTGGAATTTTCCACCGTGATCTTTTCTTGTTACATGTTTTATAGAAGTTAAGGAATTTAGATAATAAAGTACGCTTTACCAGAGCCCCGAAATGTACAAATTTATTGTAATGGACCCTGGACATGACGAGTATACCCCAGCGTTATATATAGCGTCGGGGCAACAAAAACGCTCCGTTACACTATCATGATGGCGCTAAAAATTGACTTCCACCACGCCCTGCTGCAAAAAAAAAATTTTAATCAGATTGGCATATATTCAAAGTATATTTCGGCATACACTTAGGACTCTTTTTATGCGATTTTTTTATGCGGTTTTTCAAACCAATTTCTCGCTGCAGCGAATTTGCTTTTTTGAGAGTTTTTATTACTTTTTTTCAGCGTATAAGAGACAATGCTTCTGACAAATAATTTGCCTTTGCATTCTTAAATAATTCATGTATTTATTGTGGTATTTTTTGTTTTTGGTTAAAATACAGATAAAATGTTATTTATTTTATTAATGTTCAGTTTTACATGGAATAATAAGTGTTGAAGTGAAGAAATAAATTTTTTTTTTGCTTAATATTGCCTGACTGGATTTTTTTTGGGCTTTTTTAGAATTTTGTACATGGAGTATCTGAACTTATGCAGTTTTTAAAAATGCTGGAACGCATCCCATATTTCTGTATAAAAGTAAAGAACTTTTTTATGCGGATTTTTTTTTTTTATGCGGCTTTCTGAGGAACGCATGTAATGCATAAAAAAGACCTAAGTGTATATTCAAAGTATATTTTTTATTTATTTCAGTCTTGGAATACAAGTTATTCTTACAGACTTCTCAACTAACACTTATCAAGTGCTACTAAAACTTAAATGTTATATACTTTAAATTCAAAAGAGCTAAGAGTAAAAACATCACTAGTGGTGTGGCGCAGAGAAAAATGTTCGCAGATGTGTGACTAAGGCAGGGCTTGATTGTGTGAAATCAATGTCTAAAGCATTGAAGACTAAGTTAAGTTCAGCACAGGTTTTAGAGATCAGAGCGTTGGCACCATAACTGCTTCTAGAGAAACCTATTTTAAAGAAATCCCAATGGCGGAGGATTCTAGAGGGAATATTAAATGCAATCTTTTCTAGAAGAGAAGGGCGGTCAATTGAGCCAGTTATGATATTAACGACAAACGTGCACGCTAAAATGGATCTTCTGTTATCCAGTGTTGTAAGGTTGATTAGTTGGCAGCGAGAGTAGTAGGACGGTAGTGGCAAAGAAAAATTTAATGAACGGAGAGCAAATTTTAGAAAGACTTTTTGAACAAGTTATAATCGGTTAGATAGAATTTTAGTGTAAGGCCTCCAAATAAACGTTGCATACTCCAGTCTTGACCTAACCAGTGCACAAAACAGAGTTTTAAGAGTATAAGGGTATGTAAGCGCCTGACAGTTACGGCGGATAAAAGCTAACATCGAGAATGAACGCGAAAGAATGTAACCAACATGACTATTGAATGCAAGTTTGGAGTCAAAGACAACTCAAAGGTCCTTCATTTGGGTCATAGATTGGAAAACAGAGTCAGCGATGGAATATGAGGTATGCAAAGTATTGATATGTCTACTGTAAGATACATGAAAGCATTTGCTGATATTTAGCGTCGAGTGATTTTTGCAGCACTATTCATGAACTCTGTTCAGGTCTGCTTGCAGGTTGGCTGAGTAACAAAGATTTTTGATAGTTGAAAATATTTTAAGGTCATCAGCATATAGTAAGAAATTAGAAGAACTGATATCGTTAATGAAAAGCACAAAAAATAGGGGCCCGAGGATGCTGCCTTGAGGGACACCTGAGGACGCGATGAACGGTTGTGAGGTTGCATTATCGACTACTACAAAGCAGCGCCTATCAGTTAAGTAGGATTTAATTCAAGACAAAAATGTTGAATGAAATCCAAAAGAGATCAGCTTCAGCAGGAGTAAACGATGTGATACTTTGTCGAAAGCTTTCGAGAAGTCAGTGTAGATGGTATCCACCTCAGCCTTGTTTTCAAAACCAGATAAGCAGTAATCACTGAAAATAGCCAGGTTTGTGACTGTTGAGCGATTGGCGACGAACCCATGCTGGTTTGTAGAAATAAGGTTTTTAACAGCAAAAGACAGTTTACAGCTTACAACAATCTCAAATGATTTGGAGACTGTAGATAGCTTTGATATCGGTCTGTAGTTGCGGACATCATTTTTGTTCCCATTTTTAAAGATAGGGGTTACAGACGTTTGTTTCCAGTCCACAAATATGCCTCAGACCAGAGAGTGATTGAAAATAGAACCAAGAGGCTCAGCTAAACATAGACAGTTTTTCAACAAAAAGGCCGAGAAACCATCTGCATCGCTTTGTGAAGATGGCTTAAGAACACCAATTCCTTTGATAACGTCCTCAGTTGAAATGGTTAACGAACCAAAATTCAGCGAAGAGTCACTAGGGGAGCTAGAGCCCGTTATATTCGAGTCCAGGTCATGGACAAAGTTTGTTGGATTTGATGAGCAAGATTTTCGGGAATCAATGAAACGCCAGAAAGATTTAGGATTCGAGATAATAATTGCTTCAAAGTTTAAAATATAATTTCGTTATAGAAATTTGTTTAAACAATTAAATTCTTTTAGAAGTACCAGAACTTGAGAAGATGCGTGGAGCCGTTGGATGATTTATACAATTTACTAAATTTGTTTTTTAAATTTTTTAGATGCTTTAAAGGCATCGTATACCAGGGTAGTTTGTGCTACTTCTTAAGAATAGGGATGTACTGTAGGCATAGCTCGTAGAGAGTGGTCTTAAAAATACGGTAACAAGAGGCTACGTCAGTGTCACGGAATATATGAGTCCAATCCTTATTTNGTTGTGCACCTTCTTAAGAATAGGGATGTACTGTAGGCATAGCTCGTAGAGAGTGGTCTTAAAAATACGGTAACAAGAGGCTACGTCAGTGTCACGGAATATATGAGTCCAATCCTTATTTGACAGAGCACCATTTAAGGAAGAAAAATCACACGCTTTATAGTTAAGCTTAATACTGCGATCATCCGGTAATGAACCAAAGTTATAAAACTCCAACTCAAGAGTGAGAGGGACATGATGCCTTACAGCCGGAGAGATGAGAGGCATACATTCCGATTAAGTGAAGTTTACAATGTCACTGATAAATACGAGATCCAATAGTCTATTTAGTTGGTTAAAAATACTGTTAATTTGCTGTAAACCAATACTTAAAAAGCTATCAACGACATAAATCTCTGCTGGTGAGCTCACGTTTGATGCTATAAGAGTGGCAGAATCCCTACTTGAAGTCCAATTCAATCG